TGTATGATGAGTGGTGTATGATGAGTGGTGTATGATGAGTGGTGTATTGATGTGTGGTGTATTGATGAGTGGTGTATGAACAGTTTTCGAATGTCCGTAACACGGAAGTTTCGTACACTAAGTAGTTGGCTTAAGTTGACGCTCAGTGTTTGTCATTTGGGCGTTCAGGATCCCATTCCTCGGTCCTTCAGAGGCGAAGACGCTTCGACTGGGCGCAGGTGCGACCGAGGTGACTGTTTGGGAAGTTGTTGCTTCTTTTAATTGTGTCTTTGTTGGTCAATTGAGCAGCTTCAAAAACCTCTATGATGAAAAGTGTGCAAACTGTGATCTCACATTCTTTCGCGAAAACCAAAACGCAGGTCGCGAAAGGTTCGCGAAAGCCCCGCGAAAGAACCCCAGAAGAACAGCGTCGCGAAAGCTTTCGCGAAAGTCGAATTTCTTGTGCATGTCGTGTTGTTTATGTGGGTGACCATATTTTTATGCAAGCAGCCGCAGCAGGCCAGCCAGCCAGCCAGCCAGCCAGCCGCAGCAGACCAGCGAGCAGCAGCAGCAGCACTGAAGAGCAAGTGTTTCAGGGGAAAATCGAAAAACCCAGACGAATTTCCGCGAAAGCCGCGCGAAAGCCTCGCGAAAGAACGCGAAAGTCGAAAATATCCGGGAAAGGTATCTGGCCCCAGCAAAAAGTTTCAGCAAATTTTCCTCCTCTTCTGATGACAGCAATAATATTTGAACGGTGCTGCTACAACTCCTTGTGCCAGGATGTTGCCGGAAAGAAATTTGTTCAGTTTTGACCACCCTAAGGACACTTATATCGGATAACTTATATAGGTCAATCACTTTATTGTACAATATCCCAATCGAATTTACCAATCGAAAACGAATCGCCGCGAAAGCCGCCGCGAAAGCCCCACAGAACACCACACCTTCCGCGAAAGCCAGAATGCAGGCCGCGAAAGCTTTGCGAAAGCAAGCCTGGATTATACAAAAAAGTAATAGGGGTTTCCGAAGCTGCTCAATTTGAGTCGATTTCTGATATGGTATAAAGATGTTTTCTTGATACAACATGATACAACCACTGAAGAGTTGTGTTTGATTTTCTCGTGGAGAAGAATCGAACGTGCAGGAATTTTTTGGTTGGTCTCTTCCTTTTCTTCCAAGCAGAATCGGAAAGTGGGCCAGCCAAAAGATTCCAAATTGAATTCACAGTTCATGCAGATCAAGGACCATTTTCTCATTCAGTGTTCTTCACTCACCCGTGTATGTTTGCAAGGTATTTGGCCACAGAGGAGTGAGACGGATTTGCTGGGAAGCTTCTACTTTCGATCCGGCCGCTGAGCAGATGGCTTTTCCGACGGCCGAAGGCCATCCAGCTGTTTGCTCAGACTGCGAGAGGTCCGTGTATAGTTGGCCGGCTGACCTGGAAGGGACTCGGCCAAGTTCGTGAAATTGGGCTCTCAAAGTGAACGATCCTCTAGTAGGTTGGAGGCCATTGCTACGAAAGAGAACACGATGGCAGGCAGCCTGTTCACTAGGGGCCACCGGGTTTGACCCAATTGAAAGTGGCTTACTCTGCAATCTCATCTACTCTTCAGAACATCCTGGATCAAACTGAGGCACATACCACAAGTCATGCTTTCCCAATCTGCAGCTTTTGCAATGTTTTGTGCATAGGTGCCTCCTTCTCTGGCGTGGTGCAAGCTGGCTCTGGTGGCCAATACCAACCGAACCCTAAGGATTGGCACTTAGCCTAAGCAACATTGAATATTGCAGCCTGAAATATATGCGTCCTGATGGTGCATCATGTGTCTACAGTTAAAACCACTGCCCCAATGACCCGGCAAAAAGAAACATGTTTTGTTTGCACCCATGTTCTAATCCATTCACAAGCTACACCCAGAAGTTTCTTGAACGTGCTGTTTGTTTGCCTTTGTCACCTGTGAGGCTGACGGCTTTGATGTGGAAAAAGTCTGCGAAGCGATTGATCCAGATAAGTTGTGGAAGACACCTGGCCAGGCTATCCTTGCTTCGTTCTTCGGATATTCATCAACAACAATCAAATAACTAGCAAGAGAGAGAGAGAGATGTGATTCAGGCCACTGGAGGGTCGACAGTGTCCTCAGCAGAGGAGTGGTACTTTTGCGCAGTTCACATGAAGATTTTTGTCCAAGTGCCCTTTCTTCATTGCAGACTTCAGGAAATGCGAAATAAGCGACTGGCACGACTCACTGGGGGTGGCGGAGGATACGCAGGTGCACACGGAAGGTTATAAGCGTTTAAGATCACCAAGTACTGTTGAGTGCAAGCATGTGCAAGCAATAGCGGGTAGCAAGAACTAACCTACGATGGTGAAGTGCTTTTGCTTTCCAAGGAGTCTTCTATGCAATCACATACTGTAAGTAGGTTGTTGATATCGAAATTGAGGTGAAGCACAAGGAGGGCAAGCGAGTGCGGCAGCTGGTGCTCCAGCACCACCACCGCCACCGCCGCCAGCGGCCGCGGCCGCGTGAGCGTCCGCATCACGAATAATTAATCCCCTAGCTTCAGTTGTTTGCGGCTGGGAAGTTCCTCAAATGTATCACCTCGCACAGACCCCGCACGGATCATCAAAACAGATTAGCTTGACTTGAGATTGCACGGGGTGGGGGATTTGGAGTCCTGGGAGCTACAGTGAAGTTGTCCAGCTTGGCTCAAAACAGGCCTTTCCTGAAAACAGGAATCTGTGCCACCCACCACACTGCATCAATGGGTGCATGGAACCTTTCAAAGGCAAGAAAGCTGAGAGCCGCATTCTGCGCAGCTGCGTCACTGTAGTTCCCGGTCAGGCAATCTTGGTCTTCCAGATGCTAGTCAAATCCTCGGTTGAATTTTATTTGTGGATCGGGACTTGGCATTTCCGTCTGACAGTTGGGCTCCCCAATGGGCTGGCACAAAATAGCAGGCTGATAATGAAACAGCAAGCTGAGGTGGTGGGCATAGCTGGAACACCGATTGCAACCTCGGGACCTAGGCTGTTTGCAGAGTAGAGCAGTCGGATTACTGCAGATGGGAAAGAGACTAATCATATCAGATGCATGAACTCACTGCAAAGTGCACTAAGGACAACAGTTTCCAGTGTCTAAATGATAGCAATCCAACCCTGCGCATTCCATGTGCCAGGATCAGACTTTCTTGGGAGGCGCGGTGCGACTGTCACAAGAACAACGACACGTTGGTTTGGCATGCATTTTCTGTGAGCAGTGGAGCTGGATTGCTTAGGCCGACCTCGCTGGTGACTTGTCAAAAGGACTCACCACTCACGCCTTCAAACCTTTTCAAGGTGTGGTTGGTGGGTTGCGGTTGAAAGGGATGGAAACACCAGTTTCTTGGAGACAGGCGACACGAAGGTTCTGCAACCAGTCTACTTCAAGTTCCTCGAGCATTATGGTTCCATGGCAAAATACAGAAGACTGATTCTGTCAATCACACTTACGGAGAAGTTTGCGTTGCGCTTGTGCGAGGTCGAACCTTGCTGCCCTTTGTAGAACGGGCAGAGGCCTGCTGTATTCTTCAGCAGTCGAGCAGATTTCGAGCAGAGGTATAGAGCGACTTGCGGTGACGTTCGTTTATTTTAAGATGTCACTCATCACTCATGCAAACATTGAGGCGCCTGCTTGTGCCTTGGGTGAATGGAGCCCTGTCCTTGGACATGAGTGCTCCCGTTAGTCGGGACGACTCCTCCGAATGAGCCGAGTCGTGACTGAATCCCTGCATGATCTCAAGGGCGAATCCTTGGACACTCTGTTTTGGAGTTTGTTGTGTCTGTTGTGTGCTTTTTTTGTGGAGTTGGTGAAATAGTATGCGATCCACGGATTTTCATCTTGACAATTCCTGGCTGACGATTGCGGTGCTTTTCAATGGTTGTCGCAGCAACCGTGCGCCATGCTTCAGCTTTCTTCGTTTTTGTCTGCCTCGTGGCTTCGAAAGGGTCCTTTCAGACCCAGCTTGGCTTCAAGTGGCTTCCTTTGATCACCTGTCTTGATTGCCCTTGCTGTTTGTTGTGCCATTTGAAGATAGCTGTTCAAACCTGCAGTCAATGGCAAGACTGAACATGGTGGGGAAGATGAAGCCAAATGTCCAAAAGCTTCTGTGCTCCGGCCTTTGCTCACGAGCAGCAAGATAGAGATTCTCGTTGGCTCCTTTCGCGCGGCGCAGGGATGCAGAATGGGGATCAGCATCACACAGTTTGGCCAATGATGTGATTGGCTTCAGAGTCGTTCGCTGCACCCATGCGCGCCGGAGTGTAGCCTGGTTTCGGGCATTTCGTCTGGCCTGCACAAGTTTCACGAAATGCAAAAGACTTCAACGAGCCCAGGATGTGGAGACTCCATGGTAAAGCCTGGAGGAACAAAGAGGTTCACCATGTCCCCCTCGGGTCTCGACTGAGTCGAGCTGGCTCATTCAGAGTAGAGCGGTACTGACAGCGAACCTCCAAAGCTTCCAGCGTCACAGAGTTTGAAAATGGTGTGGCAGAGCGAAGCAGCATGGTGACGATCGTCAAGATGTGAATAGTTAACTATGGACCGAATCCAACCTCCAAACCGTCGCTGGTACATGAATTGGATGTGAACGTGTCTCAATGAAATAGACGTGTCCTCTACGTGCAAGACAAATCATGTGAGCAAGACAGCCTGTTCTATGTTTTGCGTCAAGTTATTGCCAGCTGTGCGTGCTCTCCGGGCCATGAATGGCTTATTACCCTCAGGATGATCTGGCGCCATTCCCAGAGCCGTACTTAATTCGCTGTAGCAACAAACCTGGGCAACCTTCCTGCACCTGTTGTTTCGGAACTAGTCGTAAAATGGCAGCCGCGTTGTGAATGAGATGGGAACGTTGGATGGTGGTGAGCTGAGAATGAAACTGGAAGCAAGTTTTATCCAAAACCACTCGTGTCAAACCCGTTGGACTCAGGTGCAGATGATTCAGCTGTTGATCAAGCTGTTTTGGGCTTGGAAGCTTGGCAGATCGACCATTGTCAGAAACTCTACTGAAGGCCCAGCAACTGGATGAGGAAGAGAGGGAACTATGGAGGCATGCTCACTTTCACAGCAACGACCAGAGGAAGAGACCAGAGCCACAGATTCACGTGCACCACTGTGAGATGTCAACACTAAAAGCCTCTCAGGAAAAAACATGTTGTTTTAGAGGTGGTGTAGGCTGTGGACCACAGAATTCCACAGATAAAGAGGTGAGATTGGTGAGGTGTGAGATTTTTAGACAGAAGCTGTTTCCCGCCTCATAGGCAGTTGCGGCGAAAGAGGGATTTCGAGGTCCGAATCCTCGAGAAGCGTGCGCAGATAGAGGCCTGGCGGGAGAACGCTACAAAGACAACGCCTGAACTGGGAGAATCCAGAGATTTTGTTTGAGAGCTTTGCAAAGAGGGAACAAACTCTGAAGATGCGTTTTGTTGCTTGAGGAGTTGCAGAAGAAGCGGCAAAGCGTGCGACTTGCTCAAGCGCAGGTGAGCGACTTCTCGCCTACTTAATTAAGGGAGTAAGCTCCTGTTCACTCCTAGCTACTTGGGCGCTACTACATATTCATATGGACGCAGGATAGCTCACGCTTTTTCAAGGAAGCTCCCCCTGCCCGAGGGCGGGGGAGTTTCCTTGAAGAAGCGCTCGCACTATAGAATGGTTCCTAGATATTTAGGGAACTTAACTTGTCAAGATTTGAAGTTATTGACACCCTTCTGCAGGCTAGCGCATCTGTGGAAGTATTGACCAAAGAGGTTGGAGATTTTAATGGATTTCATCATTGCATTCAGACCCACTCAGCTTCGTCTGGGAGATGTGGAGGTCGAATTTGTAAAGTCTCAGCAGCGAGAACTGGAGCATGACTTGGCAGTGCTCAAGGACTGGATTTTGTGAGGCCAGCTAGCATTCCCAGCTTGGTGCGTAAGTATTTGTTTCTTGTGTATTATTTTGTTATTCCCCCCGAAACCTGGTGACATCAGCAGAAGCATCTCATGGTCTCATGGTTTGCGTGTTTCTCAAATGCTAGCGACACAAGCAACGGATCAATCCCACAAAAACACTGAGAATGTGACAGGCGTAGGAATCTCAAGCCAAGCGGATACAATGCATCCTTTCCCTGCCGGTTGAGGAACCTTGGGTGAGCGCCTAAACCACGCTGAGCTTCATGACCCCTTGGCCGGGACACATTGCTTATCTCTGAAGCCACGCAGCATGAGCTCTGCATCGAGCTTACATAGATGCTCTGTACTCCGACATATCACAAGCGGCTGAGGGACCCGAATTCCAATTCGCTCGACGGGGGTGGTTCGATTGGTCATTTGTACC